TCATGCAGCCGCCATGCCACAGTCGCAGCCGCAGCCGCAGCCGCAATTCGAATTAAAATTAATTGGTAAAATAATACACTCGGCACACACACACACACTCACATGCACACGCCCAGGCATATGAATAACAATGGCCACATTGTATAATGGGCACCCAAAATGCGTAACATGAGAAATATGTTATGCATACGCCAGATAGCCAAAGGTCTATGGGGCGTATACGCAATGGCCGGCCAGAGCTGAATTTTGACTCTTTGGCCTATTGTCATTAAGCATGTATAGAGATATGCTGTTTGTGTGGCAGATAAATATCTGTGAATGAATATGAATCAGATATGCACACACATATATATATGTATGTGTATGTATATTTGTATGTGTAAGAAATATCTCTCATTTCAAACACCTCAAAGATCTCCCCGTCTCTCTCTCTCTCTCGCTCTCTCTCTCTCTCTCTCTCTGCAAAATAAATTTCAACAATTCATGTCTAAATTCTAGCTGTGATATGTTATATTATTTGATTTGTTTCATTTCGTTTCGTGCCGTTCCGTTCCGTTTCGTCTCGATTTGATTTCATTTGGCTTGATTTGATTTGATTTGATTTCAGTTTTACTTGGCCCATTCATGGTTTCTGTGGCCATAAGTAACTATATATTTTCGCAACGCAAACGCTTGTTGGAGCCGACATGGCGCTGACTGACATCCAGCAACAATAACAATAATACAAAAAAAAAAAAAAATAAGCAGAACAACCAGCCAACCAACCAACCACAACAACAACAACAACAATGACAACAGCACACGTGTATATATAAATAAGAGCCAACAACACATCTCTAGACATGTTTGCTTGTTTATAAACGAACTTTTTATTGCTACAAAGTGGCAGGCGACAAGCCAGAAATGTTCGACGCACGCACACACACACACTCACAGCGATTGCCGGGTGGGTGGATGATCTATATATATATATTGCTGTTGTGGTGGCTGAAAGTTTTATGTGCGGCACGACCGAAATTCGAATGCATTTCTTGTGCCCCCAAATTCAATTCAAATTCAATTGACAAGTTAAAAACTTCGATTCACTTCAAGTGCAGTGGCAAATATTTTACTTCAGCTCTTCCACTCACCTTCGTCTCTCTCGCTCTTTTTATTAAAAATTGTTTTCATAACATCTCTAATGTATATTGAGGCATAGGAGTTTAGCAGATTTCTTATTTACGCAAATTAAACAGTTTTATCTGATTTGTACTGATTGATTGGACTTGCAGTTCGATTTCTAGCTGAACATCAAAATGTGGCTCTGAAAACATAAAAATTTGTAAAGGAACACATATATCAAAACATTCATATACTCGCATTATATGAAGTCTTGGCTTATCTAAGAAGTCTAGACAAACTAATCTGCAGCTCAAATCTAGCAAGAACTTTTCATAATATGAACAATGTCTACATAGCGGAAGCCCGCTCTTTTTCCCTTTCTCTAACTGTATGCATGATCTATCCAGCTTAATCAACAACAAACCTCAGTTCTCTGTGCTCAACTTCTTCCACTAATTCAAATTGATAAGAATCCGTTCCGATAATTTCCGTCTTCACGGTTCTCTTTTGAACTTACCTACCTTAAAACCAACCTATAACTATCCTAAAGCTCTATGTATATTCAACTTCAGCTTTCTTTCTTTCCCTCTCTTTAGCTACCTTTCACCTGAAGCTAACAAAAATCAATTCAAATCTACAATATTTCTATACTCTCTCTTAAGCTAACAGAATTCGATTCAAATCTATAGTTAACTGCAACCCTCTATACTCTCTCTTAAGCTACCTTCTACTCATATTTCAAACCAATGTTAATCGACTTTAATCAATGACAGACTTCAGTCTAATTAGTCTGCCAATTTTTCCGAGCTTAATTTCCAAGCGGTTCTCTTAATGAACTGATTCAAAACTTCAGTCTACTCTGATCTTGTCTAAAATATATTCATTTTTTCGTGTTTCATTTTCAAATCGATAAAAATCGAAGCTTTTCTGTGCTTTTTTTATACTAAATTCTAGATTTGCTTATTACTTGTTTTTAAATGTGAAGTTCTTTTCAAATCCCAAAATGAAGAGTTTATGTCAAAAAAAGTGAAGTTGATAAAAATCGATAATTAATTTAGATTTTTTACAGAGCATACCTAACTTCAAACTATCGAAGTCAAAAAAGTATAACGTATTAAGCTCAAAAATTCTTCGAAAATCAGTGAAATTTATAATTCACTCAAAGTGTTTGTCAAGAAGAAGAAGCATATAAATAAGTTAGGGTCTTGAAAGAGCTAGATCCAAACAAAACTTCTAAATAACGCCAAAAATTACAGAGAGCTTACTAAGCCAGGACTACAGATAGTTCACAAGTTAGAAAAAGAGATTTGATTTAATTATTAAATACATTCAAAAAATTCAATGGACTTTCTAGTTGATTTTATTCAACCAAATTTGTAATATTTGCTTAGATTTAGCCAACTTTTCTTTTATTATAAAAACAAAAATTCGCTATCTTGTCATCAATTCAAGTTGCTTAAATAGCTCCAAGATTCTGAGATATGACTAAGAACTTGGATAGAAATCAATAAATTTGACGTGTTTGTTGTTGTTATTCAGTTTGGCTGATTTAAGAGCTAATTACCTAAAAAGAAAAATGAATTTGGAAATGGAAATGGAAATGGAAATAGAAACAAGTCGATGGCATTGTGTTTTCTTAAAATTAGATACGGGCAATGCCGGGTAATTTCTGTTACTGTGTAAATAAACATGCTTCTGTTTCTGTCTCTCTCTCTCTCTTTCTCCCTATCTCCCTCTTTCACTCTCGCTGTGTGTGCGTGTTGTTTACACAATTTATGTATAATTAATTTAATTTTGAAACTGTTTGGCAATGGCCACGCCCATGCCATCCGACGCCCTCGCCTGACCAATCGTCAGCATTTCCGGCTGACAGTCCGTAGTTCGTTTGCCCTGTTTCGGTTAACATATTGAAGCGGAAGTGTTTGTGACTTTTATGATTTGGCAAGTCTTTGATTTGATTAAGCCTCAAAGTGACACACACACACACACACACACACACTGCCAATCATATGTGTGTGTGTGTGTGACTGATTGGCTTTGCCCGGGACTAGCTGCTCGATTGCTCAATGAATGAATCCCATGAATGGCCAATGAATTTTCCCCTTCCCGATTTTCACACAGCTCCATAATGTCTTTGGGTTTTTCCCCTTCCCTTTCCCTTTCCCTTCTGTTTTCCTATTTTTTTTATTTTTTGTTTTCTTCTTTTTATTTCTTTCTTCATTTTTTCGTTTTTCTATCAATGCAATTGATTTGCTTTAGCATGAAATGATACTTGCTTAGAAATTAACTCTCGTTTTCAGATGGGCAAAATAATGTTTTTCATTCTATTTGATGTGGCTCCATTTGATTTAAGTCGACTTAACTAATCAATATGCCGCCTCCGGGTGCAAAGGACTCTCACAACTCTCAAAGTAAACATGCGTGATATGAAGCCTACGATGACAGGGGATCGACTTGGCGGGGAGCAAATCAGGATGTTCACTAACGTGAATCGATTTCACTTCAGTATTTGGCGATGTCCTTCATGAGTCATAAAGCTATTTAGGAAACTATATTCCAAATTGAATATTCATAATTGATGTTTTGTTTTTCTAAATATGAATTTCAATGGCTCAAACTATTTTATGTCTATTATGCAAATTCTGTTCTATTATTATAAAAAATCTATCAAAGAAAATAAATGTATTTTGCGAAAATTTGAGCAGCTCAGTTGTATGATAAAGTGAATATGAATAGTTAATATGAATGATGAATATGTATAATAAAATTATGAATATAGAATATAAATACTGAACATAAATGCAGAGTATGAGATTCAGTATTCATATTCATTATTTATATTCAATATTCATATTCAGTATTCATATTCAATATTCATATGCAGCATAAAGTAAAGTGAAATGAAAAATTGAATTCTCAGTACAAATATTGAATATGAATACTGAATATACATACAGAGTATGAAAACATCATTCAATATTCATATTCATTATTTATATTCAATATTCATGTTCACTATTCATATGCAGCATTCATATTCAATATTCATATTCACTATTCATTTGCAGAATATATATTCTACTGTATATGAATATGATAAAGTGAATATAAATATTGAATATGAATACTTAATATACATAGAGAGCATGAAAACTTTATTCAATATTCATATGTAGTATTCATACTGCAGTATTCATAAACAATATTCATATTCACTATTCATATGCAGCATTCATATTCTACTGCAGGTGAATACTGAGTATTCATATTCTACTGCATGTGAATATTCCACTGCATTTGAATACTGGGTATTCATATTCCACTGCATTTGAATACTGAATATCATATATTGAATATCATAATAATGATTATTAGTATTGAATATGAAATCGGAAGATGAATATTAAATATGAATAATCATACTCATTAATACTGAATACTGAGTACTGAGTACTCAGTGGTGAAAGTTCAATGATAATGAACATATGCATTATATATCGTCTATATATGTATAACGATTCACACAATTTGTGTTGCTGAGAAAATTACATGAATATTAAATGAGTATTTTATGAGATTCCAATTGATGGAATGAATAGCTCAAATGCTTCAGCTGCAATACAATTTCCTCTCACACAGAACCGAGCCACCCAAGCGCCCAACCACTCAACCACCCAAGCACCCACCCACTCACTCATACAGACAAGTTCCCCTGCTGTCGATGAGCGGGAAAAACATTTTTTTTTTTTATCTTGCAGTGAAGGCAAATTTTTGGTTCTCTTTTTTTTATACTTTGCTTTTTTCTCTCTTTTTTTTTCTTGTTCAGCTCTCAAATATTGTAGAATATCAATCAACGGCAGTTTGTTGCCTTTTCCCCCCTTCACTCCCGCCACACTTACCTGGCTGATGTTTGCTTTGATTTCTTCTTGTTGTTCTTTAAATTATTATTGTCGTCGTTGTTGTTGTTGTTGTTGTTGCTGCTGTTGGCGCATTTGTTGTTGCTGTTGTTGCTCCCTTCTGTTCTGTTGTTGTTGTTGTAAAGTTTTGTTTTGCATTTTCTTGAACGAATCAAATATTGTTTGCTTGGCGCCGCATTTCGCCTGCCTAATGCTGCATTGTTGTTGTTGTTGTTGTTATTGTTGTTGTAAACATGTTTTAATTGTTGTTTTAGTGGAGTCACATGACGCCCGTGCGCCACTGGCAACAGTAAAAACAAATTCCGTTATTTTCTATTCGCACTTTTCTTATGTCACTTTTGTATATCGCGTGTTGTTGTTGTTGCAGTTGCTGTTTTTTTGTTGTTGTTGCTTGTTGCAGTTGCAATTGGCTTTTGGCTATTGGATTTGCTTGGTTTTGTTATTATTGTTGTTGTTGTTGTTGTTTGCTATTTGTTTATAATAAATAACTTAAATGCAATTGCTAATTATTTTATGATATGTATAATTAATTGCATTTACTTTCGTAATATATTTGGACTCTATTTCAGTCTATTTGAGCTTCATGTATTTATTATGTATTTAATTAAATAATTTAATAATTTTATTTATTTATTTTATTTTTTTTTTTTTTTTTTTGTATGAATTTAGTTTATGTTAAATAAGTTAATGATTAAATATTTCGAGTACTTAATGCATTCTGTTTATTTAATTTAATTTCATGTAATTTTTATTTGTATATTAAGTTTTGTTTATTTTATGCTTGTTTCTTGTCTGTTTTGTCTTTGATCTGTTTATATCTTTTCTTGCAAGTCTTTAACTGTTCTTGTTTGTTTTATTCAATACTTCATCTTTTCATATTCGCTTCACTCCGACATCTTTGTGTGCTACAATGAGAGAAGAATTTGAAAATCTTTTAGAATCGTGCATGGACAAATTTCAATTTATTAAAAATTTCAATTTTCTTATATTTTATATTGTATATATATTTATTTATTTATCAATTTATTTTTTATGAAATTCGTATAAAGTTTTATATTCAATTTCTATTTATTATATATTTATATATATATATATATATTTACATTATATTTCACACATTCTTTAAAGCACTTAATTACATTTTCAAGCCTAATCAGCTTTCTCTTATTATAGTATAAGTTCTCATTTAACAACTTTTGCAACATGTCGACCCGGAAACACTAAAAACTTTACCCCAAGACTGAAGAGTGCAGACAGAAAGTGTGAGAGAGACAGAGACAGAGAGAGAGAGAGAGCGAGACGAATGGAGAAGGGAGCCCAGGCAGTGAGAGACGAACAGAGTTATGCTGCAATAAATTTCACCTCATAAGCCAATAATAACGAAACTTTTGTGTTGCACATTTTATGCCCCAAACTGTGGCACAGCAAATTGCCTACCTGCAGCAGAGTGTCCTACTTTGGCAACAAATACAAGTGCAGCAATAAGAATGCTATTTAACAGCAACACACACATACTCACACACACACACACACACACACACACACACAGCGATACACAGACAATGAAAATGAGAAAATTGCATACGAAAATGTAACGAAAAGAAGAAGCCGAAAAAATTGATTGAGTCTTGGCAAGAGCGAGCGAACGGGCGAATGAGCGAGGGGGCGTTGGGGGCGAGGGGGCGAGCCAACGAGCGAAATGAGGTAACAAATGGAAAACACTTTAATGAGGCAACGGCCACGAGGTGAAACTCTCAGACAAACCTAGTTACAACACATACACACACACACTCACACACACACACACACACCTTTGTGGATTCAGTTGGGGCCAAAGAGCTTATATGCATAATGAGGCACACCTCGCGCTCATAGAAACCGAGCCATACCAATATGGGGCAATACACGGAGCCAGCATTTCCGGGCTGCTTTCGTTTTCGCGACAAACACAAAGACGATGGATGGCTGATGGGGCTGGAGAAGGGGCTGGGGCTGGCGATGGGCATGGTGGGGACGATGACGAAGTTGTAGTCAATGGAAATGTCGGTCAGCATGCTGTTGGCCCCGACTCGACTTTGGCTATAGCAAATTCATGTCTTCCTATGAAAAACTTATATAAAGCACATCAGGCACCGAGGAGAGCCGAGCAGAACTTCGATTTCTCATTAGGCGCCCGACTTGGCAGCCATCGAACTGAGCAGACTATAAGCTAGAAAGAGGGATTTTTGCATCTCGATGAGAGTTGGATAAGTTTTTTGCTCAAAAGGAAATGTTAATCAAAAACATGCAATTAAAAATCTCATTAATTTCGCAATTTAATAGTAATTATAATTCTAAAAAAAAAAAAAAAACTTAGTTAAAAAAAAAATTTAATAAAAAAAAACTAAATCAATTCGATCTCCAATACTGTAAAAAAATGCAGATAACAATAATTCTAATATCTATAATTCTACTAAGAAAAAAAAAAAAATAAAATAATAATTGTAAATAAAAAAATAAAAAATATAATAAGGCTTCTGTTGGGCATTTTCAATAGCATAATACTCATTCAAAGCTCAAGCGTTGCCAGATCCATTTACCGAATTGACACGCCCCGAATTGAAGTTTAAATGATTCATTTTTGAGTTTCGAACTCCAAAACTATAGATAATACAGGTGAAAAACTGCCATGCCATGCCCCCAATAAGCGTAGATATATTTGCCTCTCGTAGATACATATATGGTATCTCTATCCGAGTATATATCTTAAATTTAAGCATTATCATGGTTTCTGAGACCCCATTTTACGATTTGCCACGCCCCTAGTGGCCAGAAATGGTTTTGATTTATACGTATAGACAGAGGTAGGAAAGCCAATATACTCATTTTGCATTTGTGAATGAGTATTTAAAACCAAAAAAAAAAAATAAATAAATAAATAATTAAATAAAGTTTTTCTATTTGCTTTTAGCACAGTCTCATTAAAGTTTTCTTTCTTCACCTTCGCTCGATATCAAAACAGCTAACGATAATTTCAGTTCACAGTGGACAGGCCCAGTGCCTTCGAGTCAAGCGCATTGTGAACCCAAGCAGCACAAATTATTATTATTGCGTGTTGCGCCATTGGGGCAACGCCTCTAAGCGAGAGAGAGAAAGAGAAAGAGAGAGAGAGAGAGAGAGACAGAGAGAGAGAGAGACAGAGAGACAGGGTGGGGGAGCGGCAGTTGGAGCAAGAGTCGCAGGGGCACAGACTCCGCCACATTCATGTTGCAACATGCCACGGCTCGGCGCAACATCTGCAACATGGCTGCGACAAACAAACGGCAAACGGCAATCGCCTGTTCCCATTGGCCTCGTGACTAGACAACTTTTGTTAGCTTGTGCTCCAACAAGCCCCAGCTGCAGCCCCGGCCCCTGTCTCCGCTCCGCGAACTGCTCGTACGCCCCTCGCACGCGCTGCCAATGCCTTGCCATGCTCCAAGTGCATAGAATGCATTTTAAGTAAGTTCACGCGGCGCTATTAAGCACAGTCGAACACGCCCCACCGCCCAGCTGCCCAGCTGCCCCGCTGCCCCGCTGCCCCTAGCCAAACGCCTCCTGCTCCGTGTCACTCGCCTCCTGCTCTGTACAACCAGCAGATTTTCGCAGCATACTCGCAAGCGCATCTTGTTTGTTTGTTTGTCTCCTGTTGTTGTAGTTGTTGTTGTTGTCCTGCATCCTCTTTATTTTATCATAATTTTTTATAGAGCATTCTTTTTTCTTTAGTTTTTGTTTTTGGTTCATTTCCGATGCGCTGGCAAAGGCGACGCTTCTTAATCACACACATGACAAGAGCGAGAGAGAAAGAGAGAGAGAGACACACGCACACAGACTGAGCTAGAGCGAGACAGAGCATGTGTAATTGCTATTTAGACTGGCTGCATGCAATATTGTTTGTGTGCGAGCGTGAAAGAGAGGGAGAGAGGGAGAATGCCTGAATGAGTGAGCCAACGGCACGTCTCTGTCTGATTTAATGGCAATAGCTGCGGCAGGCAAGCAAAGCCTCGCTAACAAACACAAACACAAGCACACATGCACAACAATGCACTATGGGGAAAAATCCAAATTATCGGGTATTAATTAATAACTTAAAAACTAAGCCAGATTTTTTGATCCGGTTTTTGTATTATTAATATGTATACCATCAGAAATATATTTTAGAAAAATGGGCGTGTCACCGCCCACCCAAAAAAAATTTATTAAAATTTTGTTATAAAAATTTTTTTTTTTTTTTAAGAATTTTGCTTGTTCATACTTTAAAATAATAATTTTAATTGAAAACAATCGAACTTTCATAAAATCGAAATTAGTTTTCTTCAGTTTCGAGTTCCAAATCAGCCAGAAATATTGATCCGCTAAAAAAATTCGGGTTCTTCAACTGATTTAATTGTGCCTTCAACTTTACATAATACAATACGTACAACTTCATTAGACAGCGACCTTTATGCTTTCAAACTCTTTTCTAAAGATTTGCCGAAGAAATAATCTGATCAGATGTATCCATTGTTAAAAACCATCAGCGAAATTATGGATTCTGCTCTCATGCTCTCATGCATGATGAAATTAGTCTGATTTATAGACCTGGTTGGGCAAATCAGACGCTTCCTTACCAAAAAAGCCTACAGGATGAACAGTACTTTCCATAATCTGCCTCAAATGAACAATTATTTTTATAAACATTTGCTGTCATAGGCAGTCATTCATAGTTGTCAGCTAGTTTTTGTTCCTGCTGCATTTCTTCCATTTGTAATTTATATTTTGGCAAAAAAAGCGGCTTTTGCTTTTTTAATATCATTTATAAGTTGAATCAATATTAGTCTTATTTAGTTTCAAAATCACAATTACTATTTCTTGGTTAGAGTTGCCTTTTTCATTGAGCCAAATATCACACAGGTCAGCTCATAGTCACCTGCTAAAAATTGATTTGCGCCGGTTGTGCGCAAAAGTGCACATTGAGACAAAGGCACTAAGATCCCAATTGATTACTCTATAACATGCAATTGGAATTACACTGGTGCGCCCTGGTGGCTGTTTTATATGTCTTTGCAAAGTTTAATTTTATTTACAAGAAATGAAATTTGACAACATTTGCTAATTATACAATAAATGATTAAAATAAGTTCAAACATCAATTGGTTTTTAAGCCAACGCATAGTAGAAGCCCTAAAAATTCATATCCTTTTTAAATTTCTCAAAAATAATGTCTGGTCATTGAATAACGATGATTTGAAAATCGGCTAACACAAATTGTAAGCTGAAGGCAAATGCTTTTCGAAGATAACAGCTGACTTTAACAGCTGTTAGGCTTAACAGTGGACTGTTATTCAACATTTTGGGTACAGTACCTTAAAGTTTGGAGTTTTATTAAGATGTTAACATAAAAAAATTATAAATTTTCATACTTCGCAAAAATGACTAAATACCCG